TTTTTAGGAGAGTTTTATTTTATTTTATTTTTTTTTAGGAGAGCAAAGCAGAGGCTTTATTTAGAGTGAAAGCGAGAGGACAGAGCTCCTGGCTCACGCCTGGAGGGGACAAGAGAGCCCCAAAATTGTTAGTTTTTTTATTAAAATTATGAAATATTTTAAATATATAAAAGAGAACAGAAAATCCCAATCCCTATATACCCACCACTGAGAAATCATAGAATGTCAACATTTACAGCAAAACCAATTCTGATTCAACTTTGTTCAAAGCTGAACACTGTAATCCTTCAATCACACTCATCGTCCTTAAGAGACGTCTAACTGACCTTAAACATAGCAGGAAGAAAATACTTATCTTAATGTGTATGATTGGTATTTGTTGTTTAGTTGCCTAGTACCTCTATTTCCTCTGGGAATCTGCTCTTCCTTAAAAATCCATGTGGTAGTAGGGAGGCTATCAATTAAAGGTCACTACTTTTCTGGCTACACACAACATTAACTAGCTAATCAGTTTCCCATACTCCTGGCAACAGCAACTGATCCAGGGCTAGATGTGTGACCCAAACAGTACAGAGTTCTTCTCTAAACTGACAGATGGACACTCGCCGAAAGAAGTTTATGTTTCTACTACACTTACAATATGCCAAGAGAACAAAAATCTAGAGCCCCTAGTGGCCATCTTCCCTCACTACACTGAGAAAATCTGGTTACAGGATGAAGCTAATTTAGGGAGAAGCAGAGGTGATACAGGAGTGAGGAGGAAAGGGACACTGGAAAGAGAGCTTAAAAACATCAACATTAAAAACTTTTTCTGGGTACAACGTCTCTCCAGGCAAAGAAAACAAAAGCAAAAAAAAAAGTGGGACTATCAAACTAAAAAGCTTCCACATAGCAAAGGAAATCATTAACAAAACAAAAAGGCAACCTATTTTATAGGATAATATATTTGCAAATGATGTATCTGATAAGCGGCAAATATCCAAAATGTATAAAGACCTCATACAGCTAAACACCAAAAAATACTACTACTACTAAACTGATCAAAAAATGGGAAGAGGATGTGAATAGACATTTTTCCAAAGAAGACATATAGATGGCCAACAGACACATGAAAAGATGATCCACATCACTGTTCATCAGGGAAATGCAAATCAAAACCACAATGAGATGTCACTTCACACCGTCATAATGACTAGCATCAATAAGACAAGAAATGACAAGTGTTGGTGAGGATGTGGAAAAAAGGGCTGCCAGTGAGACTGCAAACTGATGCAGACACTATGGAATGTAGTATGGAGGTTCCTCAAAAAATTAAAAATATAAGTACCATATGACCCAGCAATTCCATTTTCATTTCTGCCAATTCACCCAAAAAAAACCAGAATCACTAATCCAAAAAGATACATGCACATCTATGTTTACTGCAACATTATTTACAATAGCCAAAATATGGAAACAATGTGTCTATCAACAGATAAATGAGTAAAAAAAGATGTGGTACATGTATAAAATGTACATGTATAAAATGGAATATTAGTAATTTAAAAAACTTGCCATTTGTGACAAATGGATGGACTAAAGGACATCATGCTAAATAAGAGAAAGACAAATACTGTATGATTTCACTTATATGTGGAATCTAAAAAACAAACAAACACCAAAACTGAAACAGACTCAAAAACACACAGAGAACAGACCGGTTCTGTTAGAACAGCAGAGAGGGGTGGGATGAGTGGAACAGGTGAAGGGAAAAAAATGAGCAAGAATGTGCGATGTCTTGATCTCTGCTATAGTTACATGAATGTGTATGTGTGTATATATATACACAATGTCAAAATTCATCAAGCTGTACAGTAAGACATATAAATTTCATTGTATGTACCTCACTACAAAACGTTTTTAAATAGTAAAAATCATTATATATTTGAAGTTATCCCTATCTGGTACGCCTTTTCTGCATGGGCTCCATCTCCCTAGGTGAATTTGAATAATTTGTAACTGAAAAAGAACTGACACAGTATTTACTGAAGTGAGGCAATGGGGATACAGGGTGGTCAGTATGAAGATAGACAGAATGTATTATTTATTAACAGTAACATTAAAGGGTGAATCTATTAAATCACCGAAGTATTTAGCAAACCAAAATCTCCTGAAGAAAACTGGGAATCTTCAGACTAGAGGGGGAAAAAATGGAGAAAAGGTGAGTATCTCCTGAATTTCAATAGTATACTGATTGGGGGACAATCCAAAAAGCCAAATTAGGACTTATGATTAAGGGAAAGCAGGAGGTAGCTTTTCAGTTTTTTTAAATTTATGTATGTATGTATGTATGTATGTATTTTAATTAACATATTATTGATATACACTCTTGTGAAGGTTTCACATGAAAAAACAATGTGGTACTACATTTACCCATACTATCAAGTGCCCACCCATACCCCACTACAGTCACTGTCCGTAAGATGTTTGCCTTCTCTGTGCTACACTGTTTTCCCCATGACCCCTCACACAATGTGTACTAAACATAATGCTCCTTAATCCCGATTTCCCTCCATCCCAACTCGCCCTTCCACACCCCTCCCCTTTGGTAACCGCTAGTCACTTCTTGGAGTCTGTGAGTCTGTTGCTGCTTTGTTCCTTCAGTTTTGTTTCATTGTTATATTCCACAAATGAGTGAAATCATTTGGTATTTGTCTTTCTCCGCCTAGTTTATTTCACTGAGGATAATATCCTCCAGTTCCATCCATGTTGTTGCAAATGGTAGGATTTCTTTCTTTCACATGGCTGAATAGTATTTCATTGTGTATATGTATCACCTCTTCTTTATCCATTCATCTACTGATGGACACTTAGGTTGCTTCTGTATCTTGGCTATTGTAAATAGTGCTGTGATAAACATAGGGGTGCATATGTCTTTTTAATCTGAGAACTTGTATTCTTTGGTAAATTCTTAAGAGTGGAATTTCCAGGTCAAATGGTATTTCTGTTTTTAGTTTTTTTGAGGAACCTCTGTATTGCTTTCCACAATGGTTGAACTAGTTTACACTCCCACCAGCAGTGTAGGAGGGTCCCCCTTTCTCCGCATCATTGCCAACATTTGTTGTTCTTAGTCTTTTCTATGTTGGCCATCCTTACTGGTGTGAGGTGATATCTCATTGTGGTTTTAATTTGAATTTCCTTGATAATTAGTTATGTGGAGCATCTTTTCATGTGCCATCTGAATTTTTTCTTTGTGGAGAATTGTCTGTTCATATCTTTCTTTTTCTCCGCCCATATCCCTCCATTCCCACCCATCCTCCCCAGTCCCTTTCCCTTTGGTAACGGTTAGTCCATTCTTCGGTTCTGTGATTCTGCTGCTGTTTTGTTCCTTCAGTTTTCTTTGTTCTTATACTCCACATATTAGTGAAATCATCTGATACTTGTCTTTCTCCGCCTGGCTTATTTCACTGAGCATAATACTCTCTAGCTCCATCCATGTTGTTGCAAATGGTAGGATCTGTTTTCTCCTTATGGCTGAATAATATTCCATTGTGTATATGTACCACATCTTCTTTATCCATTCATCTACTGATGGACATTTAGGTTGCTTCCATTTCTTGGCTATTGTGTATAGTGCTGCAATAAACACAGGGGTGCATCTGTCTTTTTCAAACTAGGCTGCTACATTCTTAGGGTAAATTCCTAAAAGTGGAATTCCTAGGTCAAATGGTATTTCTATTTTTAGGTTTTTGAGGAACCTCCATATAGCTTCCCACAATGGTTGAACTAGCTTACATTCCCACCAGCAGTGTAGGAGGGTTCCCCTTTCTCCACATCCTTGCTACCATTTGTTGTTGTTTGTCTTTTGGATGGTGGCGATCCTTACTGGTTTGAGGCAATATCTCATTGTGCTTTTAATTGCATTTCCCTGATGATTGCTGCTGTGGAGCAACTTTTCATGTGTCTTTTGGCCATCTGAATTTCCTCTTTGGAGAATTGTCTCTTCATATCTTCCATCCATTTTTTGGTTGGGTTATTTGCTTTTTGGGTGTTGAGCTGTATGAGTTCTTTACACATTTTGGATGTTAACCCCTTGTCCGTTATGTCATTTACAAATATATTCTAACATACTGCAGGATGATTTTTTGTCCTCTTGTTGGTGTCCTTTGCCATACAGAAGCTTTTTAGTTTGATGTACTCCCACATGTTCATTTTTCCTTTTGTTTCCCTTGCTTGAGGAGATGCATTCAGGAAGAAGTTGCTCATGTTTATATTCAGGAGATTTTTACCTATGTTGTCTTTTAAAAGTTATATGGTTTCATGACTTACATTCAGGCCTTTGATCCATTTTGAATTTACTTTTGTGTATGGGGTTAAACAATAATTCAGTTTCATTCTCTTACACGTAGCTTTCCTATTTTGCCAACAGCTATTGTTGAAGAGGCTGTCATTTCCCCATTGAATGTCTGTGGTTCCTTTATCGTATACTAATTGGCCATATACGGTTAAGTTTATATCTGGGCTCTCTAGTCTGTTCCATTGGTCTATGGTTCTGTTCTTCTACTAGTACTGAATTATTTTGATTACTGTGGCTTTGTAGTAGAGCTTGAAATTGGGGAGCATAATCCCCCCAACTTTATTCTTCCTTCTCAGGATTGCTTTGGCTATTCGTGATCTTTTGTGGTTCCATATTTTACAATGATTTGCTCTAGTTCATTGAAGAATTCTGTTTGTATTTTGATAGGAATTACATTGAATCTGTAGATTGCTTTAGGCAGGATGGCCATTTTGACAATATTCTTCCTATCCATGAACACGGGATATGTTTCCATTTATTGGTATCTTCTTTAATTTCTCTCAAGAGTGTCTAGTAGTTTTCAAGAGTATAGGTCTTTCACTTCCTTGATTAAGTTTATTCCTAGGTATTTTATTCTATTGATGCAAATGTGAATAAAATTCTTTACCTGATTTCTTTTTCTGCTAGTTCATCATTAGTGTATAGGAATGCAAAAGACTTCTGTATTAATGCTCTATCCCACATCTTTGCTGAATTCAGTTTTCAGACCTAGTAGCTTTGTAGTGGATTCTTTAGGGTTTTTTATGTACAATATCATGTCACCGGCAAACAGGGACAGTTTGACTTCTTCCTTGCCAATCTGGATGCCTTTTATTTCTTTGTGTTGTCTGATTGCCATGGCTAGGACCTCCAGAACTATGTTGAATAAAAGTGGGGAGAGTGGACTTCCTTGTCTTGTTCTCAATCATAAAGGAAAGGCTTTCAGCTTCTCGCTGTTCAGTATGATGTTGGCTGTGGGTTTGTCATATGTGGCCTGTATTGTGTTCAGGTACTTGCCCTCTATACCCATTGTGTTGAGTTTTTATCATGAATGGATGTTTAATTTTGTCGAATGCTTTTTCAGCATCTATGGGTATGATCATGTGGTTTTTGTCCTTCTTTTTGTTGATGTGGTGGATGATGATGGTGGATTTTCGAATGTTGTACCATCCTAGCATCCCTGGGATGAATCCCACTTGATCATGATGGATTGACCTTTTGATGTATTTTTGAATTCAGTTTGCTAATATTTTGTTGAGTATTTTTGCATGTATGTTCATCAAAGACATTTTTTTGTGGTGTCTTTGCCTGGTTTTGGTACTAGTGATGTTGGCCTCATAGAATGAGTTTGAGAGTATTCCCTCCTCTTCTACTTTTTGGAACACTTTAAGGAGGATGGATATTAGGTATTCACTAAATGTTTGATAAATTCAGCAGTGCAACCATCTGGTCCAGGGATTTTATTCTTTGGTACTTTTTCGATTACCAATTCAGTTTCTTTGCTGGTAATTGGTCTATTCAGATTTTGTTTCTTCCTTGGTCAGCCTTGGGAGGCTGTATTTTTCTAGAAAGTTGTCCATTTCTTCTAGGTCATCCAGTTTTTTAGCATATAATTTTTCATAGCATTCTCTAATCCTTTTTTATATTTTTGTGGTATCCATAGTGATTTTTCCTTTCTCATTTCTGAATCTGTTTATGTGAGGAGACTCTCTTTTTTTCTTTATAAGTCTGGCTAGGGGTTTATCTATTTTGTTTATTTTCTCAAAGAATCAGCTTCTGCTTTCATTGATTCTTTCTATTGTTATATTAATCTCGATTTTATTTATTCGTGTTCTAATGTTTGTTATGCCCCTACATCTACTGACTTTGGGCTCATTTCTTCTTCCTTTTCTAGTTTCGTTAATTATGAGTTTAGACTGTTCATTTGGGATAGTTCTTCTTTCCTGAGGTAGGCCTGTATTGCAGTATACTTCCATCTTAGCACTGTCTTCGCTGCGTCCCACAGATTTTGTGTTGTTGAATTATTGCTGTCATTTGTCTCCAAATATTGCTTGATCTCTGTTTTTATTTGGTCATTGATCCATTGACTATTTAGGAGCATGTTATTAAGCCTCCATGTGCTTGTAGGCTTTGCTGATTTCTTTGTGTAATTTATTTCTAGTTTCATACGTTTGTGATCTGAGAAGCTGATTGGTACAGTTTCAATCTTTTTGAATTTACTGAAGCTCTTTTTGTGGCCTAGTATATGATCTATTCTTGAAAATGTTCCATGTGCACTTGGAAGAATGTGTATCCTGTTGCTTTTGGATGGAGTGTTCTGTAATGTCCATTAGGTCCATCTGTTCTAATACGTTGTTCAGTGCCTCTGTCTCTTTGCTTATTTTCTGTCTGGTTGATCTGTCCTTTTGAGTGAGTGGTGTGTTGAAGTCTCCTAAAGTGAATGCATTGCATTCTATTTCCCCTTTTAATTCTGTTAGTACTTGTTTCACATATGTAGATGATCCTGTGTTGGGTACACAAGTATCTTATCCGCTTGTCGGACTGACCCCTTTATCATTATGTAATGTCCTTGTCTCTTGTCACTTTGTTTTGAAGTCTCTTTTGTCTGATACAAGTACTGCAACTCCTGCTTTTTTCTCCCTATTAGTTGCATGAAATATCTTTTTCCATCCCTTTACTTTCAGTGTGTGTATGTCTTTGGGTTTGAAGTGAGTCTCTTGTAGGCAGCATATAGACAGGTCTTGTTTTTTCATCCATTTTGATTGGTACATTCAGACCATTTACATTTAGGGTGATTATCGATAGGTATGTACTTATTGCCAATGCAGGCTTTAGATTTGTGGTTACCAAAGGTTCAAGGGTAGCTTCTTTACTATCTAGCCATCTAACTTAACTCTCTTATTAAGCTATTATAAACACAGTCTGATGATTCTTTATTTCTCTCCCTTCTTATTCCTCCTCCTCCATTCTTTACATGTTAGGTGTTTTATTCTGTACTCTTTTGTGTTTCCTTTGACTGCTTTTGTGAGTAGTTGACTTTATTTTTTGCCTTTAGTTAGTATTTGGTTGGTCTGCTTTCTTTGGTGTGATTTTATTTTTCTCTGTTGACATCTATTTAGCCTTAGGAGTGCTTCCATCTAGAGCAGTCCTTTAAAAATATCCTGTAGAGGTTGTTTGTGGGACGCAAATTCCCTCAACTTTTGTTTGTCTGGGAATTCTTTAATCCCTCCTTCATATTTAAACAATAATCAAGCTGGATACAGTATTCTTGGTTCAAGGCCCCTCTGTTTCATTGCATTAAATATACCATGCCATTCTCTTCTGGCCTGTAAGGTTTCTGTTGAGAAGTCTGATGATAGTCTGATGGGTTTTCCTTTGTAGGTGACGTTTTTCTCTCTCTGGCTACCTTTAATACTCTGTCCTTGTCTTTGATTTTTGCCATTTTAATTATTATATGTCTTGGTGTTGTCCTCCTTGGGTCCCTTGTGTTGGGAGTTCTGTGGGCATCCATTGTCTGAGAGACTATTTCCTCCCCTAGTTTGGGGAAGTTTTCAGCAATTATTTCTTAAAAGACACTCTATCCCTTTCTCTTCTTCTTGTGGTACCCCTATAATGCGAATATTGTTGCATTTGGATTGGTCTCACAGTTCTCTTAATATTCTTTCATTCCTGGAGATCCTTTTATCTCTCTCTGCCTCAGCTTCTCTGTATTCCTGTTCTCTGATTTCTATTCCATTAATGGCCTCTTGCACCTCATCCAGTCTGCTCTTAAGTCCTTCCAGAGATTGTTATATTTCTGTATTCTCCCTTCCCTACTTGTTCCTTTAGCTCTTGCATATTTCTCTGCAGGTCCATCAGCATGGTTATGACCTTTATTTTGAATTCTTTTTCAGGGAGATTAGTTACATCTATCTCCCCAGGCCCTCTCTCGGGGGTTGTCTGGGTAATTCTGGACTGGACCAAATTCTTCTGCCTTCTCATGGTAATAGAGGTGGCTGTAGGCAGGTAGCGCATGTCAGCTGAAAGAATAAAGTCCTTCCCTGTTTGCTGGTTGCCTTGCCCTCCTCCGCTGCCTGTGTCGGTTACCCACACTCCTGGAGCAGCTTCTGGATTAATCCCTGAAGCTGCTGTGGGTGGGGTTGCCATCAGGGTAGCCCAGAGCCCTGCGGGGAGTGGCAGGCACACTGGTTGTGCTCTCCTGTGAGAGCGGCACCCCTTCGTGCCTTGCCCCAGTTTCTTCTGCCTGTGCCGGGCAGCTGCACGCTGGCAGTAGCCTTGGGGTCTGGCCCAGGCGGCCGCGTGCCAGGAGGAGATTCTGGGTGGCTGCTGGGGGCACGGCCGCAACCAGGCCACTCGGCTGCTGCCACTGCTGCCACCTCGGGCACGCACGGCTGCTCTCAGGCTACTGGGCTGCTATGTTGGGGGCCACACCAGCCAGGGGAATGACTGGCAGGCTGCTTATTGAAGTGAGGGGCTTCAGAGATGCGCTGCTGCCATGGTGTTAGGGCACCTGGTGTTCCCCAGGAATCCCAGCTGCTGGGCCGAGTTGCCAGGACAATTCCATCCACCTGTGGGGTCCCTGTCCCTTTAAGACTTTCAAAAAGCACTCGCTTTTCTTTTATCCCAGGGGAGCTGGTTGTGGGGACTCACTTGCAGATTTTGCCTTTCCATTTCTCGAATATCCAGCACACCATGCACTATGTGTCGGTGCTCCCGGTGCGGATTACTAGAGCTGGTTGTTTAGTAGTCCTGGGCTTTTACTTCCTCCCTGTTCGAACTCCTTTCTTCCTGCCGGGGAGCTGAGGTTAGGGAGCGCTCGTGTCCCACCAGGCCGCGGCTTGTATCTTACCCCCTTTGTGAGATGCTGAGTTCTTGCAGATGTAGACGTAGCCTGGCTGTTGTCCTGTGTCTTCCTGTCTCTCTTTTAACAATAGTTGTATTTGTTGTATTTTCAAAAATATATATGGTTTTGGGAGAAGATTTCCACTGCCCTACTCACGCCACCATCTTGGCTCCTCCCCAGATTATGTTTTACAAAACATCAGTTTGTGGTTTGTCTTTTTAATCTCTTTATGCTGTCTTTTGAAGATCTAAAGTTTTTAATTTTAATGAAGTCCAATTTATCATGCTCATTATAGGCTGGGCTTCTGGTATCATTTTAAGAAATCACTGACAAATTCCAGGTCACAAAGATTTTCTCCTTCTTTCTTCTACAGATCTTGTAGTTTTAGGTTTAATTCTTACTTTTCATTCTTTCCTCTGTATTTGATTTTCTTCCTAAAGTAGTTTTTTGGTAGTTCATTCAGGCAGAGCCTGGGAAAGGCAAATTGCTCATCTGGAAAAGCCTTTATTGTGCCTCCACTCACAGTGTACCTCATACTTTAGATGAGTAACTTCTGGGCAGCTGTCAGCAGTTTATGAGCATAATTATTCTATTGTCTTCTGGCTTCTACTGATGCTATGAAGAAAACTTATTGATAATCTAATAATTTGTTCCTGGGTCCTTTAAAATAAAACACTTTCATTTTGTTATGTCTATTGAGTATAGTTGCAAATACAACTCAGGACTTATGTTTTCCAAACAATTAGATTCATTTAGGTTTGTTTTTTATTCAAGTATAGTTGATAGACAATCTTATATTAGTTTCAAGTATTCAACACAGTGGTTCAACAGTTACCCACATTATTAAATCTTCACCCCAACTCATCTACTCAGTTTTTAAAATTAAACATTTAAATTTTTATGTCATTTTAATACTCATTCTGTAACTAACTTGGCATACTGAGATTTTATTTAAAGTGTTAGCTTGATACTTCCTTAAATCAGTGTCATATGTTCATTAGTTTTTTTTCTCTAGTGACAACTGTTTCTTCTGAGCTATTTTTCCTTTGTCCTACATTTTTAAAATTTTTCCAACTCTATTATGAAAATTTTCAAATACAGAATAGTAGAAGGAATGATGCAATTAATATCCAAATTCTTCCTATTTAGATTCTAAATTTTTTTAGTATTTGTTTCTCTAACATTTTGTTTTACTCCATACTATCTGACAGTAAGTTCCAAATTCACTAACTGAGATAAAAGTCAGAACACAAGTTGTTCTTGAAGGTGGGTAATGAGTTGGAAGGGACACAGAACAACCCTTCTGAAGTACTTAATCTACATGGAAGTTACATATGTAGAAAGTCAATGAACTATACACTTGATTTTTGTATACTTTACTATGTGGAAGCTTTATTTCAAGAAAGAGGGGGTAAAAAAGTTGCAGGTACCATGACAATTTACCTCTGAATATTTAAGCATGTATTTCCTAAGAATAAAAACATTCTCTTACATAATTAATTCCTATTATTATACTTAAGAAAATATTCCATAACAACACATTATATTCAATCAACATTCAAAATTTCCCATCTCAAGAATTCCTTTTATAGCTCTTCCCCAATCTAATCCCAAACCAGGATCACATGCTGCATTTGGTTATTATGTCTTGTTTAGGACAGAATAATCCCCAACCTTTATACCCTCCCTGACAGTGACATTGAGTCCAGGCTGTTTGTCTTTGTCCACTTTGTGAATGTGTCTGTTTCTTCATGGTGCTTAACTTTTTCCTCTGTCCTTTGTGTTTCCTATAAAATGGAAAGTCCAGAGCCTAACATCCAACACATTTTAGCAAGAATACTTCAGAGATGATAAATTATCATCCACTGAGTTTTAAATTTTAAGACCACTTACAAGTTCTATTGGTGCCTTTTTAGGAGTTCTAATCCCACTGTTTTTAAGTCTTCTAACACACTTATGATAACTGTCTTCTTCTATATTTTATAACTTGAGGTTTTGAGCCAAGGGAGGTTTTGCATTTGCTTCTGCCCTGCACCTGAGTGCCATTATGGATTGGTTTTTATGTTAATTTCTTGGGTTGAGAGTTCCTGAGAAATGCAGGTAAGTATAACTATAAACTCCACATTATGATGAGAATAGATCTATCTATAGTTAAGAATTCACAAGGGATATTTTAACCTTTATCTGGAACCCTGGCAAAGACAGATAAATTTCATTGTTATTTATGTACGCTGGTGAAGAGATTTTCTTCTCTATTCACTCTTCTGCTGAACGTAAAGCTCTTTGAAGGTTCAGCTTTATGCAAGGATCTGAGTTCCAACTACCTTTCTGGCTGATGACCTAGTCTAGCATTTCCACACACTGACACTCACTGGAGGCCATTAAAGCATGTCAGCAACTTTTTCCATGAAGAACAAGCAAGTTGTATTTGGAAATGAAATATATTTTTACTAATTTCAAAAGCAACCATATACATTATTTAAAAAGTAGTGATGTAAATAGGTATATTATTTATTAAGTCCACTGACAGTACTTGTTTTACTTGAGGATTATAGACCATCCATAATAATTCTGCATATATCCCTGCTTTAAATGTTACTTACAGGGTACTCTGTCCTAATGGTGATACTAATAATCAACAATCAAAAGTTATGTAGACAAGAGGAAAAATACTAAGCACATTAAAAATCCAGTATTTGATAATAAATCTGAATAAGGATTTCTCAAGGGCTAAGAATGAATCTTACCAAACATATGTTACACAACAAATAAGCTCAAGTCTTGGAATTCTGACTGATTCTGAATTAGTACTTAGACCTGAGTGTGGTTCAAGTTGGCAAACAGGTTTAAATGTCAAATCTGACACTAAAGACAACACAATTTTTCCAGTTAAGGAACACAGACTTTGGCCCCAAATACTTATGTCTTTCCATAGAAGGAAATGGACCTTGTATGACCACTTGCATGACCACCACAGATAAAGTGATAACATTTCATTTTCAACAATTAGTCTTTATGAAAAATACAAATAAAAAGCGATGATGATATTAAAAGCTGACTCACCACTGTCCTCTGTTTATTGGGCAGGAAGACTCTAACGATAGGTTTTTGTGGTGACTTGGGGTTGCTCCGTGACACATCTGTGGGATTTTGAAAAACTGAAAGGGATGAAGGTAGCACTGAAAGGCTACAAGAGGAAGAAGATGTAACAGTGTCTGTTGATGTGGAGCTAGAAACAGAAAAATCAGTTCCATTCCCCAGGGATTCCAATAACTGTTGTTCTCTTTGTTGGAGGGCATCTAGCTTGCTGGTGTATTCTTCATAGGCCTATAAAATAAAGTAGACTTATACTGAATCTGGACTTTTTCCTGACAGTAATAAAAGGAAATACGAAATTTAAGTCATTGATTATAATCTTCCTATAATCTAGCCAACAGGGTTTTAAGTTACAAGTTACAAAACAAATGCTAGAAGTACTGTAAATTTTTGCCTTTAGGTTGATAAATCTTTTGTTTTAAGATACTACATTACATTAATAAACTGATATATACACACACATATACACGTGTGTGTGAGACATCTAGAATAGCCATGGATGTTAATAAAAAATGTGTATAGTATTTGTGATACTCTGGTCAAATCACAATTTGCCTTCCAAACTGCATATTAGAACATAAGATAAAACACATTACATCAAGGTTAAGTACCCCCTCCATTAAAAAAAATTTTTTTTCAGAGAAGTTGTAGACATATAAAGTTTCATGTTTTCCCATCCCCTCTCTCCAAAGAACAGAATGAGAGGCTGAAAAGGCGATGAGATATTAAGAGAGACTTGTGAAAAAACAGGACCAAGGAACACAGTGCCAGATCTTACCATTACCACCAAAACCTCCTCAGCAGGGCTTAAAAGGTGTATAACTGCTGTTTTCTTTCTGAAATAGCTATCAGTTAAAATATTTCATTCTTCTCACTACAGATCCCTGATGGCCTCCATCCCCATCAAATACTGTAGCCATTATCCATTAAGACACTTTTTAAGAAGTTTCATTTGACTAAAATTATAAAAACATGAAATGACCACCTAAGATATCATTTTCTAAAAGAAGAAACTTAAAAACAGAATAATGGAAGTGAAAAGATAGGATGAGTTGGAATATGTATGCCCATGGTTCTGTAGGCAGGGTAATTACCTACCCCCATACCATGGTCCAGCATTTCTCCCCTACTCCTAATAGATACAACACTACAAACATTATGAAAAGATACAAGGGAGAAACAAAGATTTAAAAATGGCACTTCTCATCACTCAAGGAGTTTATTATTGGGCTGTTGAGAAGCAGGTAAATGTATTTTTATTTATGTGTAAGTGCTGTATATGAGAAATAAACAAAGAATGTTCTCGATACAAGGTGAGAATGAGAAGGAGGGATACCTTAAAATGGTAGCATTCAAACAGATGGAGTTAAATGGGGAAGAAAAGCATACTATGTACAGGAGAAATCTGTAACAAAGTTACGAGGCAGGAAATTCTAAGACACAGAGGAAAAACTACAGACTAGTATAGCTGAATGCTACTCAATACTTGGGATACAGCTAGCTATCAATGTTTGTGGAATTTAAATGAAGAAGAACAGGAGCAAAGGGAAACAAATAATATGACTGGAAAGCAGGTAAGAGAAAAGCTTGTACAGAATATGCATATATCATGCTTTGAAGCCCAAACTTCATTCTACAAGCAAGGGAGAATTATTAAAGGAGGAGGATGAAGGAGAAATTCCGTTTCAACCATACCTAGTATGCTAGATCATACCATATAATTAAAAAAAGAAAAAAAAGAAAGAGGGTAGGGGGATACTAAAATGAGCTTCTGAGGTAAAGGACCTAAACTACATCAAAATGCCCTCTCCCCCATCACAACCTACTAATTGCCCTAACCTGACCCAAAATATTTCAGAGATTTTCAGAGTATTACAATCGAATCAATTCAGAATTTTCTGAGCTGTATTTCTATTTAATTTTCAGTTCCAAGAGCTTACTACTTAAGGGTATCACTCTCAATATGATTCATTTTATTCAGCCTTCAATCATTCAATAAATATATACTGAGCATACATTACCTTGCAGTATTTGGGGCTCAGATTAAAAAACTAAAGACTACCACAATTACAACCCTTTTAATATTATATACACGCAGTTTGGGAGAGAAATATTCCTCCTTGCATAGAACAAATCTTATTTACTGTCGTCTGGGCAAGTACATTTACTTACTACACAATATTACCCTTAGGTAAAGTAATAAATATAAATGATAATTTTTTTGAATGTTATTTATTAAAATGTTAGCCTTAATTTTTGAAAATACAATGATCCCTGCATGTGGATTACAAACTATTATTTCACCCCATTTATCAATAGCTCTTCCTTAAGTACAAAAAACATTTACTCTCTCCCCTCACACCCACATCTACCAAGGCAACTGCTTACCTGTTTATAGTACCTGTCATGGCTCATTTCATGCCATTATCCTTGCTACATTCTCTATGGACATTGATATTCTTTTAACACTCCTGCCTTAAAGTTCTCTAAACCCCTTATATCTAAATGCATTTATTTCTCAAGATCCAGAGATACACACAGTTCTTTATAGGGGTTCAAAATGATGACACATACACTTAACCGACCTTCTTAAACTTCCAGCTCACTACCACATTCATCTTTCATGGTAAATATTAATCCCTAAATCTGTTCTCAGATTTAGTCAGGTCTTTGTTGTCCTACTTCCCATACTTTGTGGCTCACCATTTCAACAATGCGACTGGTTGGCTAATTCTTATTCTTTTACCAACTTGGTTGTCAAATACAAACTTGGGGTAAACCCTACCATTCAATGATTCCATTCTTTTTCTCAGGTTACCACACCTTGCTAGAGAAAATATTACCGAGTTTTAATATCATATTACAGTCTTCACAGTATTTATTCCAACCTTTGCTATGCTTCTCTGGCTCCTAACTTCATCCCTCAACCATCTATTCACTCAGAAAATAGGATTAGCTTCAAATTTATTCTTAGTATCAAAGCCATCAAATACAGTTTCCTTCCCCCTTCTTCTTTCTTTGTCTAAGCAATTCTCCCTATCTTTCCCCATCCCTCTTCTATTCTCAATTTAGTGCTAGCACTGGGTGTTTAGGGCCTCTTCTATGGAGGCCTTGATATAACGTTATCCCCATTTTTTTCTTGTATCTTTGAACATTTCTTTTTCCTCTGTTGTCTTGCTGTGCAAACATGAGCAAGTCCTCCCATGCACACCTCAACCACCACGAACAACAAAATTCCTCTGGTCCTTCAAAGTGTTGTAGGTACTGGATACTCTTTACCAGGCAGCTTTTCCAAAGCCCTTTCTTTCCAAAACTTCTTTCTCATCAAAATCCTACTTATTTTTCAAAGTCTAACTCAAAGCTCTACTTGACAAAATCCAAAAAAGGTATTCTTTCCCTTCACCTCTTTACACATAGTACTACCACACTATTCTTTATATGGTTGTTTTTTCCTCATTTGTGAAAAAATTTTGTGAGGATTAAATGAGATAATATAAGTAAAATAATTTATCACAGAGGTTAACACACAGCAAAAACCCCAAAAAATATTTTTATTCATAGTAATAAGTAGTATTCATAATTCCTGTTGTGGTTATTACTAGGTTACTTAGCTCAGTTCCTGACATGACTCTACCAAACTATAAGTTACTTGAGGACACAGATCATGTCATTTACTTTAAAATTTAAAACAGAACCTAGAACATTTAATATTATGATTAAGATGACAATACTCCCCAAATTGATCTACAGAATCAATGCCATCCTTACCTACGTCCCAGTTGGCTTTTTTGCAACTGATCTTAAAATTCACATGGAAGTGCAAAGTGCAAGATAACCAGTCTTGAAAAAAGAACAAAGTTATAGGACTCACATTTCCTGATTTCAAAACTTACTATAAAACTACAGTAATCAACACATGCAGTAACAGAGTAATAATGCACATATAGAACAACACAACAGAACTGAGAGTCCAGAAATAAAGGCTTACACATTTATGGTCAATTGATATTTTACAATGGTGCTGGTACAACTGAGTATCTACATCCAGAAGAATGAAGGTGGACTACTACCTAACATCATATTAAAAATTAACTCAAACTGGACCATACACCTATTGGAGGAAAAACTGTAAGACTTTTAGAAGAGAATATAGGAGAAAAACATCATGACCTTGGCTTAGGCAATGAATGGTTTCATAAATATGGCACACCAAAAGCACAGCAACCAAAGAAAAAAACAGATAAACTGCACTTCATGAAAATTAAAGTTTTTATACTTAAAAAGACAGTATCGGTTCATCAAAATGCTCAAACCAGACCTACTATTTGACCCAGGAATTCCACTCCTAGGAATTTACCCTAAGAATGCAGCAATCAAGTTTGAGAAAGACAGATGCACCCCTATGTTTATTGCAGTACTATTTACAATAGCCAAGAATTGGAGGCAACCTAAATGTCCATTGGTAGATGAATGGATAAAGAAGATGTGGTACATATACACAATGGAATACTACTCAGCCATAAGAAGAGGGCAAATCCTACCATTTGCAGCAACATGGATGGACCTGGAGGGTATTATGCTCAGTGAAATAAGCCAAGCGGAGAAAGAGA